TATGTTTCTTTGAATTGCTGCTGTGTTTTGTTAAGTACTGTGGTGGTTTTCTTGTAGTTGTTTCGTCTGATGGGTTTATGTTTAGCACTTTGTACTCCCTGTACTTTACTCATGACAAAGTGTGCTACAGGGTGACACTAAATTGACACCAAATTGTCCCCACCAGGAAGTGCGTGTGCCTCGCATGACAACTTGGTTGATAATGGTGTCTGTGTGAAATGTGTGTGTGCTGAAAGAGAAAGACATTGTGAAGCTCTTTGTGGAAGTTTAAAAAGTGCTGTTGAACTGCAGTGTGTTAGACTGGGCTTCACGCAATTATTTAAATAAAGCCACTTGGGAAGATTGATGGTGAAATCACTTTTCAATTAAACTTCCTTCTCAAACATTTGAAATGTGACAGTGGTCCCCGAGTATAAAAGCTGACCATGGTTGAGAATCTCTTTTAATGTGTTGTTTTACATCATTTGTAGGTGTATGTTTAAACTAAATATCATGATCTTGGAAAATTTGTTGAAACGTGGGAAACACATAGGTAAAGCAGCATTTCATAGAAAAATGAGATCCCTGCTCAAGAGATAAATGCTGATTTTCACATTTACAGCTACCTTGCCGCTGAAGTACGATGTTTCGAGGGTGTAGCAGTGAAGCATGTCTGCCTTGCTAAATGTCACGGACAGTCTAATTTCGATTCAGTTCCCCTTGAGGACACGTTTTGTAACAGACAGTCATGGCAGATAAAATTGTCTTTCATGACCTGTCTCGGTTCTGAACTCTGTATGTCTGTATTCACACTCCACTGAAGAAGCACTACAGATATGCATCAGGGAAAGAGATTTTAACACATAACTCTTGTGGTTTGTTAGACTGCACCAAATAGGACTGTTTGCCCATCATTATTATTACTGATAGCCCACTGCCTTTAAATTAATGTTGCCTCCTGCTGATTTTGTCTTAAAACAAGTCAATGCTGGAGGCTTGGGGACAGAATGAGCAGTGACCTGCAAGGACAAATGAGAATATCATAGTTGGATTGTGTTTGAGAACTGTTGCTTTTGTTAGCTCAGGCACTATTTGCTGCTGTTTACTCTTATCTGGGATGGCAGTAGCTGGATGGGTGCTCTCATTTACAAGGACACAAAGCTAATGCCTTATCACACTGGCCATTTTTGACTGACGCTGGAACTGCCTTGTAGTGCCTTATTGCTTTGTAAGTGCAACAAGCTGGCCATCATTATTGCATTTAAAATAATGTGAGACTGCAGATATTTTAATTGTGCTTTGACCTTCGTTTGACCTTTAGAACATGCACAAATTTTGGATGCTTTGGAGTATTCAGAGTGTTTGTGTTTTGCTGTCATTTTATATTATTATGGTTTATGTTTTAGTTTCATTAGCAGTCTTTAGGTTAGTCTGTCTTGAGTTCTCTGTGTGTTCTTGTGTCTTGTTTCCCTTTTCTGTTCCCATGTTCCCTTCCTTGTACCATGTTTATCCATGTTTCCCCAGCCCATCATGTCTGTCATGTGCTCCCTCTCTTGTCTGCCTTTCTTCCACTCCTGTGTCAAGTGCATGTATCAGCTTTGTGTTCCATATTTTTCCTGTTTTATTGTGAAAGTCTTGTGTTCCATGTTCAGTGTGTTTAGTTCTACTTCCCCTGTCAAGTCTGTCTAATTTGTCTCAGCTGTGTTGCCTGTGTACTTCCTGTTCCCTCATCATTCCTTGGCTGTATCCCAATTCAGGGTCTGCAGCCTTAAAGTACGCAGCCTCAACGGTCCTCAAGGGCCGCGTACTCAAAGACCGCTAAGGCCGAAAGTGCGAGGCTTGTGAAATGGGACGGTCTAGCCTCCGTTGCGCTGCCCAGGTTGCCTAGCAACCATGATAGCTGGAAACGTGTGGTTGACAGAAATGAAGGAGAACGTGTTTTGTTCATTTGTTTGTTTGTTTCTACACGAG